TCGGGAGCCCCCAGCCCGAAACACAGTTGAAAGCTTCAGCGCCTTGAAGCTAAACCCAAAGCCCGTGTAAACTAAGGTTTAGGGTTTAGGGTTTAGGGCTTTAGGGTTTGAGGGTTCAGGGTTTGGGGTTTTAGGGTTTTAGGGTTTAGGGTTTGGGGTTTTAGTGTTTAGGGCTTAGTATTCAGGGTTTGGGGTTTAAAATTTGGGGATTTGGGGTTTGGGGGAGCGCCGGGAGGGAGAACTCAAAAGCCTACGCCCTAAAACCCTAAAGCCAAAAAGCCCGAACACACTTCGGGCTTTAGGGTTCAGGGTTTAGGGTTTAGGGCACTAAGCCCCATAACCCCCCCCCCTTGTTTCGGACGCCTAAGCCTCTAAGGCACCCAGTTGTTCCCTAATCGCCCTGAAGCCGAACGAGACGCTGCACACCATCCCTCAGCGATAAACTCTATAAACTTAGGGCCTAAAGGGAAACCTATACAATTTTTTTTTGGGGGGTCCTTATCATATATGATATTATATGCAATATGTCAAAGAGCATATTTATAGTATAATATACCCCAACACCCTATTCCAATTATTCAGATCCCTACATGAAACTCAGAGGTACTTGGAAATTATTTCAGCTTCTGGTTAGTACAATCCGAGTATAGTGCCTAAGAAAGAGAAAACATCGAACTCTTGAAAGGCTACCAAGTTCGGTATAGCAAGCCCTTAACCCCATGACCCTGAACACCCTGGAACGCGTATCGACCCCTTTCAGCCCTTATAGGAGCCTTTTGAGAATAGGAACCCTTACGGTTGATGGACAAAATCCTGCATGACCTTATATACCTAAACTATGGGTTTTATGGTACTATACTATATTTGGGTCATGCAGAATTCTGTCCATCAACAGTATGATGGTAACTCCCGGGTAAAGGCGATTAGAACGTGTGCAGAACGCTTTGGCAAATCTAGGCCGGTGGACTCTGAGCACTCGGCCATCTTTCAATGCATGTGAGGGGCTCAGTGTGACAGGTCTTGGGTTTACCGGATATGGTTTGTAAGGGTTTATGAGGTTTATGAGGGTTGTACAGGGCTTAGGTTTCGGGAACGAGGGTTTAGGGCCTAGGGTTTGGAAGCATTCAGGTTCAGGACTATATAAGGGGGTATGGTTTGAGAGAGCCTAAACCCTAAACCCTAAACCCTAAACCCTAAACCCTAAACCCTAAACCCTAAACCCTAAACCCTAAACACTAAACCCTAAACCGGTTTAGGTGGTGGGGTCCAACCTCGGCTTTAGGGCTTCTAGAAGGCCTAAGGCTGCCCCGGTGTGAGTACTTGGAGGATCATGGGACTTAGTAAGTAAGGTTATAAGTCGCTTAGTTGGGGTTATAAGTATAGTTACCTTAATTATAACCGAACTTGGGGTTATAAGTATAGTTACCCTAGTTATAACCTTAATTGGGGTTATAAGTATAGT